TTAACAAACTCAGAAACAAAAAGGGGGACATAAGAACAGACACTGAGAAAATCCAGAGAACCATCAGGTCATACTTTGAAAACCTGTACTCCACAAAATTCGAAAATGTAAAGGAAATGGACAACTTCCTTGATAGATGTCACCTGCCAAAATTAAATTAAGAACAGATGAGCAATTTAAATAGACCTATAACCCCTATTGAAATAGAAGCAGTCATCAAAAGTCTCCCAACCCAAAAAGCCCAGGGCCAGATGGCTTCAGTGGAGAATTCTACCAGAAATTCAAAAAACAGCTTAGACCAATTCTCCTCAAAGTATTCCATGCAATAGAAGCAGAAAGGTCTTTGCCAAACTCTTTTTATGAGGCTTCAAACATTGATACCCAAGCCACACAAAGACACAACTAAAAAAGAGAACTTCAGACCAATTTCCCTCGGGAACATTGATGCAAAAATATTCAATAAAATACTGGCAAAGCGAGTCCAAGAACACATCAGAAAACTCATCCACCATGATTAAGTAGGCTTCATTCCAGGTATGCAGGGATGGTTCAACATGCGAAAATCTATCAATGTAATCCACCATATAAACAAGCTGAGGAACAAAAATCACATGATCATCTCACTAGATGCTGAAAAAGCCTTTGACAAATCCAACACCACTTCATGGTAAATGTCTTGGGGAGATCTGGGATAACAGGAACATACCTAAACATCATAAAAGCTATATACAGCAAACCAACAACCAACCTCAAAATAAATGGACAGAAACTCAACACAATTCCGCTAAAATCCAGAACAAGACAAGGCTGTCCCCTCTCCCCATACCTTATCAAAATTGTACTTGAAGTTCTATCTAGAGCAATAAGACAACAAAAGGAGATCAAGGGGATAAAAATTGGAAAGGAAGAGGTCAAACTTTCACTATTTGCAGATGATATGACAGTTTACATAAGTGACCCAAAGAACTCTACCAGGGAACTCTTACAGCTGATTAACACCTTCAGAAAAGTAACAGGATACAATATCAACTCAAAAAAATCAGTAGCCCTACTATATACAGAAGATAAGAGAGCTGAGAAAGAAATCATAGAAACATCATCTTTACAATTTCCACACCCAAGATAAAATACCTTGGGTAATGCTAACCAAAAAGTGAAAGAACTTTATAGAGAGAACTTTGAGTCCTTAAAGAGAGAAATTAAAGAAGAAACGAGAAAATGGAAAAATCTCCCATGCTCTTGGATAGGTAGGATCAATATAGTAAAAATGGCAATCCTGCCAAGATAAATCTACAGACACAATGCAATCCCAATCAAAATACCAGCACAATTCTTCACAGACATTGAAAGTACAATTCTCAACTTTATGTGGCAAAACAAAAGACCTGGGATAGCCAAGACAACCCTGTTTACGAAAGCAACATCCGGAGGCATCACCATCCCGGACTTCAGGCTCTATTATAGAGCTATAGTCCTGAAAACAGCTTGGTATTGGCACAAAAATAGACAGGTATACCAGTGGAATCGAATTGAGCACTCTTAGATTAATCCACAAACCTATGAGCAGCTGATTTTCTACAAAGAAGCTAAAATTATACAATGTAAAAAATATAGCATCTTCAACAAATGGTGGCTGGCATAACTGGCATATAGAATACTGCAGATAGATCCATATCTATCTCCATACACAAAACTTAAGTACAAATGGATCAAAGACCCCAACATAAATCCAGCCACACTGAACCTCTTAGAAGACAAAGTGGGAGGTACCCTTGAACGAAGGGTACAGGTACCCTTGGTACAGGAGACTGCTTCCTGAACATAAGACCAGCGGCACAAACACTGAGATTGATAATTAATAAATGGGACCTCCTAAAACTGAGTAGCTTCTGTAAAGCAAAGAACACAGTCAGCAAGACAAAAAGGCAACCCACAGATTGGGAAAAGATCTTCACTAACCCCACATCTGACAGAGGGTTGATCTCCAAAATGTACAAAGAACTCAAGAAGCTATTCTTCAAAACACCAAAAGGACCCAATTAAAAAGTGGTGGACTGAAATAAAAAGAGATTTCTCAATAGAAGAGAATAAAATGGCTGAGAGACACTTGAGAAAGTGCTCAACATCCATATCCATTAGGGAAATGCAAATCAAAACAAACCTGAGATATCATCTTACTCCTGTCAGAATGTCTAAAATCAAAAACACCAATGACAGCTTATGCTGGATAGGATGTGGAGCAGGGGAACACTCGTCCACTTCTGGTGGGAGTGCAAACTTGTACAGCCACTTTGGAAAGAAGTATGGAGATTCCTCAGGAAAATGGGAGTCAATCTACCACAAGACCCAGCAATTCCACTCTTAGGCAAATACCCAAAATATTCCCATTCATACAGTAAGGAGGTCTGTTCCACTATGTTCATAGCAGCATTATTTGTGATAGCTAGGTCCTGGAAGCAAACTTCCTGCCCCTGAACTGAAGAGTGGATATAGAAAATGTACATTTACACAATGGAGTACTACTCAGTGGGAAAAAAACAACAGAATCTTGAAATTTGCAGGCAAATGGATGGCACTAGAAGAAACCATCCTGAGTGAGGTAACCCAGTCACAAAAAGACAAACATGGTATGTACTCATTCATATATGGATTTTAGACATGGACCAGGGGAGTGTGAGCCTACAATCCTAGAGACACTGAGTCTGGTAAACAGGGAGGTTCCAAGGAGATATCCATTATACCCCAGAGAAGTAAAAAGAGGCAAGATCTCCTGAGCAGATTGGGAACATGGGGGGAGAAAAGAGGGAACCAGGAAAAAGAGAGGAGGATAAGAGAAGTTTAGAAGAAGACATGGGGGAGCAGCAAGGCTGATTCGGGGTAAGAATAGAGGACACCAGGATGAGAGATACCATAATAGTTAGAGTCATTATAGCTTTGAGGAGAGAGCTGACAGTAGTGAGATTCCCAGAGATGTACAAGGATAACACCAACTGGAAAACTAAGTAATAGCAGAGAGACTACATTAATAGCCCCTACTTGATGATAATGTTGATGACTACCTTCTGTAACATCTTAGAACATTCATCCTGTGACTGATGGAAGCAGAGAGAGATACTCAAAACTAAACACTGAACTGACCCCCTGGAACCCAGTAACAGAGATGGAGGAGTGATGAGCAAGGAGGTCAAGACTATGCTGGTGAAACCCACAAAGGCAGCTGACTGGACAAGGGGGAGCTCTTGAACCCCAGACTGATGACTAAGAGGACAACATTCAGACCCCATGAATGTAGTGTCCGTGAGGAGGCCTCAGAAATCTCTTGGGCCTTGGGTAGTAGATTAGTGTTCACCATGGCATATGAATGAACTTTTGGGGCCCATTTCACATGGAGGGATGCTCTCTGAGCCTGGACACATGAGGAAGGGCCTAGGTCCTTCCCTGTATGAAATGACACACTCTGGATATCCCCCAAGGAAGGCCTTACCCTCCCTAGTTAATGATGTGTGGACTGGGCTGGTGATGGTGGGTGGGTGTGGGGCTGGTCGAGGGAGAAGAGGGGAGCTGAGATTGACATTTGAAACATGCATGTTTCCAATTTAAATTTTAAAAATAAAATGAAAAATAAAAAAGAGACAGAGAAAAAACTTTAAGTTTAAAATATAGAGTCATACATAACAAAAATCCTAACAATGCAATAAAATGCAGAAGAAAATAACTGCATGTGTATATTACACTCCCCAAGTTTGTGCAGTCTGTAATTATTCCTGTTGCAAATGTTCCCATTTAATTACAGTTTTTTCAAGTTCTTTTACTCTGATTCTTCCATAAATACATCATAATGTTGGTGTTTCTTATCTAGGTTCAATGTCTTATATTTAATATGTCCTAATGAATTAAAGAATTAGTGCTATAAAGTTAGAAACTTGCCTTGTAAAATAATAATATCTGAAAATGCAAAAAACAGCTTGCCAATTGCACCTATCAAACATTCTCAGATATTTCTATGTCAGCCAATCACTATGAAGTGAAACAACATGAAATAATAAATGTTTGTCTGGGAATTTTGGTAAATAATCTTAAGTACATAGGACTGGAAAGATCACATAGTGGATAAGAGTTTGTTCTGAATTACAGAGGACTCGGTGTTAGTTCCCAATGCCTACAACAAAGGCTCAAAACTGTCTGTGACTACAGCTCCAGCACATACAATCAATGCCCACTTCAGGTCTTACAAGCAAACAAAACTAATATACACATAAGCATACAGACATGGACATATTCACACATACTTTAAAATGAAAATTTTTAAGAATATGAATGCTAGGTCTTGAAATAACTTTCAGTTAAAGCAAAAAAGCACTTACTTAATTTTTTATCATTCTAAAAAAAGTACACAATTAATTATGTAAGAAATTGAGTCATAATGCCCTGACACTGTATTATCCAATAATAATTTTGATTGACATAGTAAGATTTCTGTAATAACATAAATAATCATTGGACATGTTGCACAGAAAGCCAATACATGCATTGAGTCTCAGATTTTAAAAAGCAAAAATAAGCAACTATTTAGTTGGACAATCAAATTTGAATATTTGGAATAAAATGTGTTGGGTCCAGCATTCAACACAGGTATACTCATGGTAAATGCTGTGCCTGAAGAACTGAGGTGTGAACAGTTTCCAAGAAGCTTTGGTCCTCTAATGCCTTAGTGAAAGGATGAGCACATGTGATGCCTCCTTTGGGAAAACACACCCTTAAAACAAGCATATGGGGGGCACTCTAAGGTAGACCATTGAAGACAAAGCCAGCCTGGACTTTCCAGGCTAGCCAGGGCTACAGAGAAATCCTGTGTGAAAAAGGGTCCATAAACATGGGGTGAGGGCAGATGTGCTCTGATGCTCAGCTTTCCGTGCTGTGGTCAAGTAGACGCTTTAGCCTCTCAGGACATCCTGTAAGTTTTTATTCTGACTCTGCCTCTTGTCAGCTGAAGCAGCACGATGCTGTCTGTGCCCCTAAACATTTTGTGCACTGGTGAGTCCTGCTGGGAATGAGGGTGTGGAATACCAAGGTGAATATATCATCGAGGGAGGCTGTATTCATCCACAGCAGAAATACTGGATTCCATGGTGGGGTTGGTGCATGAGTTCACCTTAACTTAAGTGATCTCTGAATCTACTGTACAGAGGTTATACAAAGATGGGGAGGTCAGATCACCAGGTTATTGGAAGGAGATAGATCACCCATCATGAATTTTTCTTTCCAGGCTTCTTCCTAGTCCAGGGGACATTGGTACAAGCAGGTGAGTCTATCCTTAAAACCTTGATTTATACTACCCATTGCAATATATAGGCTGGGTTCTATCAGAAGAGCAGATATTATGGGTGGTGGCTGGTGGCTTATGAGAGTGATTTGTTGATGAGTCTTCTGAACTTCGAAGTTAGGAACTCTATCTCCCTTCTCTCCCAGACCATCCGAGACTCTGCCCCTGGCTGAGTTAGACATCAATTTTGGTCAGATAAACATTATTTCGGTTTTTCAAGACTAGGTTTCTCTGTGCAGCTCTAACTATCTTAGAACTCACTTTTTAGACCAGGCTGCCCATGGACTCAGTTATCCACCTGCCTCTGTAACCCAAATGCTAAGACTAAAAGAGTGGGCCATAACACCTGGAGAATAGTCAGTATTTTAAATAAAATGGCCTTTGCTATACTCTTGCCTGACAACCCCACCTATTTTGAGATTTTGATAACATAGTTTATGATTCTATAAATCTCTATGACACCTGACAAACCACTGACATTTTATTTTTGCCTTCAAATATCAACGCTGCAGACATAATTTGTTTACCACCAGCACTCTATTGTAACCTCTTGTTTTGACTCACTTTTAGAGAACCATTTTTCCTTTTTCTACAAGATATTTCATGTAACTCATTAGCAACCTTCCCTTTCAGCGTGAAGTATGTGCCATTTTTGTGCTTATGATGAACTCTATCTGGGATTGTTTCCTGAGAAATTAATTATCTCCATTTCTGATGGACAGTGTTGCTGACATTTATAGTCAGGGTTTTTCTTTTTACCACTCACTTTATGAATGCATCCTCCCAGGCTATTGTGTCCTGAGGTCTTTGCTCGGAAGTCTGCCATTAACTGTCCTGGAAGTCCCTTTTGTGTTCTTTGCTTCGCTTGTCATCCTGAACCCAGGAACTCTTACAATAATAATATACTCTGTGATCATGACTATATGGAGTGAATTCGCTTTGTGTCATTTGACCCTCTTGGACCTGACCATGTTCATTTTACTACAAGTTTCAACAGTGTTATATATATATACTTCCATCTCTAGGGGATTTTTTTGTTTATTCTTATTATCGTTCTTATTTCTGTCTTCTTGTTAATATTTTACTGATTCAGAATTTTATATGATGTATTTTAATTACATTCATTCCTCTGCCTAAAGTCATTCTAGTTCCACCACCTCCTCTACAGACCCAAAGAAACATCTATAATACTTTACTTTATCACGAATTTTTATAACTTATATTTTGGTACTTGGATGCTATCAGAAAATCCTGTCACACTCTGTTATTGTATTTTCACAGAGTTTCTGTATTTACCCATCAGGTTACATAAGGCCTGATCTCAGCTCACTCATTGTTCTACTAAATCAAGCATACTGTTGAAACATTCTATTAACATTTTGAAATTCTGCATTTTATGAGGCACATCTGTGTGCACATACACACATGTGCATGTGTAAGTGTGTGAGTGTGTGTGTGTGTGTGCATCTTCTATGTCACAAGTGTGTAGGTCAGTGGACAACCTACTGCATCAATTTTTTTTTTACTTTAACCACATGGGTCCTACCGATGGAATCCAAAGAGTCATGCAGAGCAGCAAAAGTCTTTATCTAATTAGACAACAAGATGACCCATACATTTTTCCAACTCAATAATTGTATTCTTTACTTAACAGGGATGTTGGTAAAAGTTACTGTTATTCAATGATTCATTTCCAAATTTCATTGAATATTTAGAGAGTTTCTTTTTATGTGTAGATCATTTGTTTTTCTTTGAACAAAGAGTCTTCTTTTTACATTTAATTTCTTGAGACCTCCACTCATGAGTACTTTCATTGCTGACTATGAGGGTCCAGCTCCATTTCAGCACCAGGACATGTGAACAAAATTCAGGGATGTGACAATAGCTTAGGAAAAGTTCTTATCTAACAGTTATACCTCTTTATCGGATGGAAAAAATAAGGAAGCACAGACACTTTCTGATGACCATTTTTTATATTTAATCTAGAAAAATAATCTCTGAAATATTTCTCTTGCTCTCCTCCCATTGCTCTATTCAACGGTTTTCCCTAATTAGTTCTACATTTTTCTCTCTCTCCATTTTCACTGATTCCCTGCTGTCTCGGCCATTCTCTCTGCCTCCCTACTTCATTAGCTCTATGTGGGTGAGGGTTCCCAGAAAGATGACATTGGAAATCAAGACTGAACAATAACAATTAGTTAGCTGAATCTTGAGCGGTAAAGAGTATATGAAGACTAAAGTTGCTTCAAAATCTGACTGTGAATCAATAAACAACACGTGGGAGAATGACCTTGTGTATTTGTCTCTAGGCGCAAACAGTTGCCTAGCAATCTACTGAGTTCTTGGTTAAGTGTGTGTGTGAAAGGCTGGCTTTGTAGCTGAGAATTCTCCTACGTCAGTCGGAGTCAGGAAAAATACCCCTGCATTATTTCTGATCATCAATATTATATAACTTAGGTAGACTCATCCTCTGGATCATCCATACATGACCAAAAAGTGTAAAACACACCAACAAAGGGCTATGCAAAGAACCCCAAGGCTGTTATTATTTTGGAGGCACAGCAGTGGACCTGAGAATGTTAGACAGAAAACAACCAGTCATTCACTGTCAATAGTCCCACAGTTGTCAAGTGGGGGTCCTCAATAACACCTGAAGAGTCAGCTTGGCAAAGTAGCATTCACCAACAACTACTACTTGGTTGATTGTTACATCCTAGTTGTCACTGATGTACACTCCCATGGCCATCTGCACACTATGTTTGTAACATTTTTACCCATTGGCATCCTATGTCATGGATGCTTCTCCAGTCATTTTTGGCTACTCTATTCTTAATAGCTAGGATGAAGAAAAACCTGAATGTCTTTCACTTAAACAATGGATGATGAAAATGTGCCACATGTACACTGTGGGGTACTACTCAGTGGTAAATAACAAGGAGACCGTGAAATTTTGAAAAATAAATGGAACTAGAAAATATTATCCTGAGTAAGATAACCCAGAACCATAAAGACAAATGCCACATTTTCACTCTCAGCTGTGCTTCCTAGTTCCAAATATTTTTATGGCTTCTTACAATCCCGTTGCGTAACTAAAAAGACTACTGTGAACATAATGTCTTGCACACCATGGGCCTTCCTTTCCTCTGTGGTTACATACCACAGCCTCACCACTGTTCTCTGGTACCTTGTATCTCTCTGATTTTCGTGCTTAAGTTCTTACACACAGACAACTGCAATTTGAAGAGAACCACCTCCTCTGTCACATGGAGAAGTTTTTGTTTTCAGATGCACCTTTACCATTTAGTATAACCTGAGAATGAAGTCGGGAAAAATTATTACCACCATACATCAGATTATCTTGGTGATGATTTCTCTTGTTTGACTAGCCTGCTTCCTCTGTTTTGATGACCAGATGCTGGAGCTATCTCAGCTCCCTAAATCAATAATATGACTGACCACACTCCACATCAGGGACAATTTCATGCTAGGTCCCATGATATCCTCTATTTGGGCAGTGTTGCAAGATGTTCACACTGGCTGGAGTCTATATGGTCTTCACTGCAGTGTTTTTCTACTGTCCCTTTTCTCAGTAACATCCAGCATTTGGATGCAAGATTCATGGTAGGGTAATCAAGAATCCAAATGGTTTTTATCTCAGGTGACCCAAGTGGCAAAAAAATCTACATTCTTAATGTTTCATATACAAGGAGCACTGAAATGGTGGAGAAGCTGTATGTCTGACCATAACTTCTCACTATTGGTGTAAATAATGAGCCAACAGGAACGCTGGGAATGAAGTCATGTACAAGAGTACATAAGGGACAGAATAGTTCAAATGACTCATTCCTCCTGTTTCATTGTCCATTTTCTTAGTTCTTTGTTCCTATGGGCTGACACACCCTCAACCCTAAGGTCTGTAATATTCACAATGTCATTCTAATCTGAGTATTATTTTTGCATTTCTAGAGTCAGTGAGTATGAATCAAAAGCATTGTGGAAAGCACAACTTAATGTGGTTGATTATTATTAAAGCCCCTAGAGCCCTCTGCTCTTCTAGTAGGCAGATAAACAGGTCTCAGATATCTCATCTAGGAATTCAGAAGGCCCAGTAGCTTACTGTTTCTATAGAGCAGAAATGTGGTGAGTTTTAGCTTCCTAGTACTTATGTTTGTTTACCTACTGATTGCCCTGAGCTTTTCAGTTTCTCACATTGAAACAGGGATGTTTCAATTCAGAGAAAATTGTTCTAAAGCTACCTGAAGAATTAAAAATTGGAAGCTTAACTCTCAGGAATGAAGGGAGATCGTTAAATTATTTTCTGTGTGATTTCTCCAGGAAGTTATCAAAAACATTTACTTTCTGCCTGGCCAAGCCCTGTTGTTGCACTGGGACAGCATGTGGAGCTTCGATGTGACTCTCATAGAGAGTCTGACTTGTTCCAGCTGTACAAGGAACTTGGAGACTTTATTCCTCAGGTCCATGAAAGAATATTCAAGAAGAGCATGCTTTTGGGCCCTGTGACAACCGCACATGGAGGAACGTACAGATGTTATAATCACTATCATCAGAACCCTAATGACCTCTCATTACACAGTAACCCTTTGAAAATCATAATCTCAGGTCAGCAATCATGTTTGAAGTGTCATTTCATTCTCCCAAATCTCCTCATGTTAGAATTTCCAGAACAGAGTCTCAATATTATAAAGGAATATTCAACACAGAAATTAGATATTATGGTGGGCATAGCATAAACCCAAGGACATGCTCTTTCCATTCCTAAGACTTCATGGGTGTTAAGGAAGTGGTAAGGAGTTTCAAGTCAGGGAAAAAGTGGACTTGAAAGGGGAATTCAGGTACTAACAGGTTGTCATCAGGATGAGAGAATGTCCTGATTTGTCCTGGGTCTGCAGAATCATCAGGGTAAATATAACAAAATAAGGAAATTTCATTAGTGGCAGAACTAAGAATAATGGGAGATGCACCATATTGATTATTATTATTATTTATTTTTAATTTTAAAATTAAATTAGAAACAAGGTTGCTTCACAAATCAGTTCCAAGTCCCTCTCCGTTTCCCTATCCTCCTCCAGTGCCCTCCCCACAACCACCCCCAATATCCCCCTATTTCCCCAGGGAGGGTGAGGCCCTCCATGAGGGTATCCATAGTCTGTCATTTCATCCAGGGCAGAGCCTAGACCATCCCCAAGAGTTCAGGGTGACAGTGCAACTCACATTGTTGGATGGAAGCCCAAAGTCCATTTGTATACCAGGGATAAATACTGATCAACTACCCAAGGCTCAATAGATTACCTAGGCCACCTCAATGACACACACATTCAAGGGGTCATGATCAGTCCCATGCTGGATTCCCAGTCATCAACCTGGAATTCAAGAGCTAATCCTTGCCAGGGGAGCTGTTTCTGGGAGTTAAACCAGCCCAGTCTTAATCCCTTTGGTCATCAATCCTCCCTCTCTGTTAATGAATTTCTTGAGATCATCTCAGTGCTTAGCCATGGGAGTCTCCCTCTTCTTCCACCAGCCACTGAATGAAGGTTCTGTTTCCCAGACTCTCTGGCCATGGGATTGTATGTGGGCATTCACCAGAACTATGTCTAAAATCCATATATGAGAGAGTAAATGCCATGTTTCTCTTTTTGTGACTGGGTTACCTCACTCAGGATGGTTTCTTCTAGTGCCATCCATTTGCCTGCAAATCTCAGGATTCCATTGTTTTGTTTTTCTGCTGAATAGTACTCCATTGTGTAAATGTACCACATTTTTTCTATCTACTCTTCTTTGAGGGGCATCTAGGTTGCTTACAAGTTCTGGCTATTACAAATAATGCTGCTATGAACATAGTGGAACAGAAATCCTTGTTGTATGAATGGGCATCTTTTGGATATATGCCTAAGAGTGGAGTGGCTGAGTCTTGTGGTAGGTTTATTCCCATTTTTCTGAGGAAGCTCCATACTGATTTACAAAGTGGCTGAACAAGTTGGCACTCCCACCAGCAATGGAGGAGTGTTCCCCTTTCACCACAACCTCTCCAGCATGAATTGTCCTTGGTGGTTTCAATTTTGTCCATTCTGACAGGAGTGAGATGGCATCACAGAGTTGTTTTGATTTGCATTTCCTGGATGGCTAAGGATGCTGAGCACTTTCTCAAGTGCTTCTCACCGATTTTAGACTCCTCTATTGAAAATTCTCTAGTTCTTCAGCTCACTTTTTAATTGGATCCTTTGGTGTTTTGGAGACTTGCTCCTTGAGTTCTTTGTAAATTTTGGAGATCAACCCTCTGTCAAATGTGGGATTAGTGAATATATTTCCCATTGTGTGGACTGCCTTTTTGTCTGGTTGACTGTGTCCTTTGCCTTACAGAAGCTTCTCAGTTTCAGGAGGTCCCATTTATTAATTGGTAATCTCACTATCTGTGGTACTCATGTTATGTTCAGGAAGCTGTCTCCTGTACCAATTCGTTCAAGGGTACCACCCACTTTCTCTTTTAAGAGATTCAGTGTGGCTGGATTTATGTTGAGATTTTGTGCATGGGGATAAACATGGATCGATCCGCATTCTTCTACATGCCAGCCCTCCAGTTATGTCAGCACAATTTGTTGAAGACGCTTTCTTTTTTCCATTGTATATGTTTAGCTTCTTTGTGAAAGATCAGATGTGCATAAATGTGTGAGTTAATATCAGGGTTTTCAATTAGATTCCATTGGTTTACCTGTCTATTTCTCTGTCAATACTAAGCTGTTTTCAGTAATATATCTCTATACTAGAGCTTGAAGTCAGGGATGGTGATGAATCTGGATATTGCCTTGTTGAACAGGGTTGTTTTGGCTATCCTGGGTCTTTTGTATTTCCATATAAAATTGATTATTATTCTTTCAAGGTCTGTAAAGAATTGTGCTGGGATTTTAATGGGGATTGCATTGAATCTTTAGATTGCTTTTGGTAAGATTGCCATTTTTACTACATTGATCCTACCTATTCAAGAGTATGGGAGATCTTTCCATTTTCTGAGGGCTTCTTTAGTTTCTTTCTTTAAAGATTCGAAGTTCTTGTGATACAGTCTTTCACTTGTTTGGTTAGCATTACCCAAAAAGGTTTTCATGTTGTTTATGGCAATTGTAAAGGGTGATGTTTCTCACATTTCTTTCTCAGGCTTTTTATCATCTGTATATAGTAGGGCTACTGATTTTCTTGAGTTGATCTTGTAGCCTGCCACTTTGTTGAAGGTGGTAACCAGCTGTAAGAGTTCCCTGGTAGAGTTCTTTGGGTCATTGATGTAAACTATCATATCATCTGCAAATAGTGAAAGTTTGACCACTTCCTTCCCAATTTGTATCCCCTTGATCCCCTTTTGTTGTCATATGGCTCTGGCTAGAACTTCAAGTACAATATTGAAAAGGTATGGAGAGAGTGGAAAACCTTGTCTTGTTCCTGATTTTGGAGGAATTGAATTGCGTTTTGTAAAATTAGTTTGATGTTGGCTGATGGTTTGGTGTATGTAACTTTTATTATGTTTAGGTATGTTCCTGTTATCCCAGATCTTTCCAAGACCTTTATCATGAAGAGATGTTGGATTTTGTAAAAGGATTTTTCAGCATCAAGTGAGATGATCATGTGATTTTTGTTTTTCACCTTGTTTATATGGTGGATTTCATTGACAGATTTTCGTATGTTGAACCATCCCTGCATCCCTGGGATGAAACCTACTTGACCGTGTCGAATGATTGTTTTGATGTGTTCTTGGATCCGATTTGCCAGTATTTTATTGAATATTTTCCATCAATATTCATGAGGGATATTGGTCTGAAGTTCTCTTTCTTAGTCGTGTTTTTGTACGGTTTGGGGATCAAGGTTATTGAAGCCTCGTAGAAAGACTTTGGCAAAGACTCTTCTGCTTCAATTGCATGGAATACTTTGAGAAGAATTGGTATAAGCTGTTTTTTGAATTTCTGGTAGAATTCTGCACTGAGGCCATCTGGACCTGTGCTTTTTTTGGTTGGGAGATTTTTGATGACTGCTTCTATTTCCATAGGGGTTATAGATCTGTTACTTATCTGTTCTTGATTTAAATTTGGCAATGGATAGCTATACAGGAAGTTATCCATTTCCTTTAAATTTTTGAATTTTGTACAGTACAGGTTTTCAAAATATGATCTGATGATTCTCTGAATTTCCTCAGAGTCTGTTGTTATGTCCCCCTTTTCATTTCTGATTTTGTTAATTTGCTTGTTCACACTCTGCTGTTTGGTAAGTTTGGACAAAGGTATGTCTATCTTGTTGATTTTCTCAAAGAAACAACTCTTCATTGAATTGAATCTTTGGTTGTTTTCCTAGTTTCTACTTCATTGATTACAGCCCTCAATTTGATTATTTTCAGGCGTCTAATCCTCCTGGGGGAGTTTGCTTCATTGTGTTCTAGAGCTTTCAGCTGTTCTGTTAATTCTCTACTATAACTATTCTCCAGTTTCTTCATGTGAGCACTTAGTGCTACGAACTACTTTCAAAGTGTGCCATAGGTTTCGGTATGTTGTGTCTTCATTCTTATTGAATTCTAGGAAGTCTTTAATTTCTTTTTTATTTCTTCTTTGACCCAGGAGTGGTGCAGTTGTGCATTATTCAATTTCCATGAGTTTGTAGGTTTTCTGCAATTTGTGTGGTTGTTGAATAATAATTTTAAAGCATGGTAGTCTGATGAGATGCATGGAGTTATTCTAATTTTTTGAAGCTGCTGAGGTTGGATATGTTGCCAAGTATGTGGTCAATTTTTGAGAAGGTTCCATGTGTTGGTGAGAAGAAGGTATATTCTTTTTTATGTGCATGAAATGTTCTATAGACGTCTGTTAATCCCAGTTGGGTCAACACTTCTATTAGACCATTTGCTTCATTTTGAATTTCTGTCTGGTGTTTCTGTCTAGTGGTGAGAGTTCTGTGTTGAAATCTCCCACTATAAGTGTGTGGGGCTTTATATGTGATTTAAGTTTTAGTAATATTTCTTTTCGGAATGTGTATGTCTTAGTATTTGGGGCATAGATATTCAGGATAGACACTTCATCTGTGTGGATTTTGCCTGAGATGAGTATGTAATGACCTCCTTCATCTCTTTTGATTGATTTTATTTTAAAGTCTAATTTGTTAGATATTAGGATTGCTACCCCTGCTTGTTTCTTGGGTCCATTAGATTGGAAAAATTTTCCCAACCTTTAACTCTCAGGTAATGTCTGTCTTTGAGGGTGAGGTGTGTTTCTTGTATTCTTGGAATCCATTTTGCTAGCCTGTGTCTTTTTATGGGTGGGTTAAGGCCATTAATGTTGAGAGATGTTAATTACCATTGATTGCTCTTTCTTCTTTGATTTGGAATGCTTGTTGTTGGTGGAATTATGCATGGAAGTTTACCCCTTTGTTCTTTTGGCTGATGATAGAGAGTGATTCTCTAATTCCTATGTTTTTCTGGTTGTGGTTAACTTCCTTGGGCTGGAGTTTTCCTTCCAAAACTTTCTGTAGGGCTGGGTTAGTGTACACATATTGCTTGAAACTAGTTTTGTCATGGAATATCTTGTTTTCTCCATTTATAGTGATTGAGAGCTTTGCTGGCTATAGCAGCCTGGGATGGCATCCATGGTCTCTTAGTGTTGGTAGAATATCTATCCAGGACCTTCTGGATTTCAGAGTTTCCATGGAGAAGTCAGGTGTAATTCTCATAGGTTTGCCTTCATATGTTACTTGGCCTTTTTCCTTAGCTGCTCTTAATATTATTTCTTTATTCTGTATATTTGGGGTCTTGATTATTATTTTTGTGATCCACTCTATTTGGTGCTCTGTAAGCTTCTTATACCTTCATTGGCATGTCTTTCTTAAGGCTGGGAAAGTTTTCTTCTATGACTTTTTTGGTATGTTTCTTCTTCCATTTCTTTCATGTTTTGCTTTGTTTTTCCTTCTATTTCTTGCATTTTTTGCTTTATTTCTTCTTCCATTTCCTGCCTTTTTTGCTTTGTTTTTTCTTCCATTTCTTTGAGGGATTTTCCTATATCCTCTTTTAGGGCCTCTATCATTTTCATGAAAGTGGTTTTAAGGTCATTCTCTTCTGCTTCCTTTGCATTGGAATGTTGGAGGCTTGTTGATGTGGAGTCTCTGGAATCTGGCAGTGTCATGTTTGTTTTTCTGTTGCTGAGTATTTTTTGTATTGTCTCTTTTCCATCTCTTCTTCTAGTGCATGCAGAAAGAGCCCCTTACTGGTCTGGTGGTTAGGGGACCAGAGTTCCCTTTTGGTGGGTTTTAACAAGTCCAATAATCAGGTAGCTTTTCTATTCCTCATCCTCATTCTGGTCCCGTGGGTGGAGAAGAAGACCAAGAATCTGGGGTGTTTAGCCTGTCACTTGATCCCCTGGTCCCTTTGCTGGATCTGCTGGTTTCCTGGTCTCGTTGGTGGAAGAGAAGACCTGGAATCTGGGGTGCTTGGCTCCTGCTGGGAATGGAAGCTCTGTGCAGTTCCCAGGCAATCCTCAGGCACTAGAAAGCAGGACTGGATGCAGGGCTTGATTTCCTTGGTTCCAGCGAAACAGCTGGTCCTCTGCTTTCCTGGATCTGCTGGTTTACTTGTCTCCATAGTGGAAGAGAAGACCTTGAATGTGGGATGCTGGGCTCCTGCCGGGATTGGAAACCCTGTGTAGTTCCCAGGCAATCCCCAGGCACTAGAACGCAGGCCTGGGTGCAGGGCCTGTTGTACCTGGTCCTGCCAGACCAGCTGGTCCCCTGGTCTCCCTGGATGTGCTCTACAACCTATTGTTAATTCTAGAAATGGGCAAATGACCCAAGTGCCACAGAATGCATGAGGCCTCTAGAAGCTGAAAGGCAAAAAGCAATGGACACTTGCCTAGGAAATTTTCTAAGTAAAATGTCACTGCCTATACCTGATTTATACTATTAGGCTTATTTCAGAATTCTGATGTCCATTGTACACTTTTTTAAAAATCACATTTGTGATAATTTGTTATGGTACTGATTAGAAACTAAAACAGGTCTGTTTACATTGTTTATCTGCCCTTGATTTAGATTTGCAAGTGAGACCTATAACCCCTAATGAAATAGGAGCAGTCATCAAAAGCCTCCCAAACAAAAAAAGCCCAGGCCCAGATGGCTTCAGTGCAGAATTCTACCAGCAATTCAAAGAAGAGCTAAGTCCAATATTCCTCAAAGTACTCCACACAATAGACACAGGAGGCTCACTGCCAAACTCTTTATGATGATACAATTACCTTGATACCCAAGCCACACAAAGACACAACTAAGAAAGAGAACTATAGACCAATTTCCCTCATGAACATCGATGCAAAAATATTCAATAAAATACTCGCAAACCGGATTCAAGTAAACATAAGAAAAATCATCCATCATGATCAAGTAGGCTTCATCCCAGGAATGCAGGGATGGTTCAACATTACAAATTCTATCAATGTAATCCACCATATAAACAAACTGCGGAAGAAAAACCATAGGATCATCTCACTAGATGCTGAAAAATCCTTTGACAAAATCCAGCACCCCTTCATTATAAAGGTCCTAGAGAGCTCAGGGATAAAAGAACATAACTGAATATAATAAAAGCAATATTCAGTAAACTAACAACTAACATCAAACTAAATGGAGAGAAACTCAAAGCAATTCCTCTAAAATCAGGAACAAGACAAGGCTGTCCACTCTCTCTATATCTCTTCAATATTGTTCTTGAAGATCTAGCTACAGAAATAAGAAAACAAAAGGAGATCAAGGGGATACAAATAGGAAAAGAAGAAGTTAAGCTTTCATTATTTGCAGATGATATGATAGTTTACATAAGTGACCCGAAAAAATCTGCAAGGGAACTCATAGAGCTGATAAACACCTTCAGCAAAATGGCAGGCTACAAGGTAAACTCAAAAAAATCAGTGGCCCTATTATATACAGACAATGAAGTGACTGGGAAAGAAATCAGAGTAACATCACCCTTTAGAGTAACCATAAACAGCATCAAATATCTGGGGATAATGTTAAACAAGGAACTTTGAGTCTTTAAAGAAAAAAATCAAAGAGGACACCAGAAAATGGAAAGATCTCCCATGCTCTTGTATTGGTAGGATCAACATAATAAAAATGTCAATCTTGCCAAAAGCAGTCTACAGGTTCAATGCAATCCCTATCAAAATTCCATCACAATTCTTCACAGACCTGGAAAGAACATTAATCAACTTTATATGGAAAAACAAAAAGCCCAGGATAGCCAAAACAACTCTATACAATAAAGGAACTTCAGGAGGCATCACCATACCTGACTTCAAGCTCTATTATAGAGCTATAGTCCTGAAAATAGCTTGGTATTGGCACAAAAATTGGCAGGTAGACCAAAGGAACCGAATTGAAAACCCCAATTTTAACCCACACACCTATGAACACTTGATTTTTGACAATAAAGCTAAACCATACAATGGAAAAAAGAAAGCATCTTCAACAAATGGTGCTGGCATAACTGGGTACTGGTATGCAGAAGACTGCAGATAGATCCATGTCTATCGCCTTGTACAAAACATAAGTCCAAATGGATCAAAGGTCTCAACTGAAACTTTTAGAAGAGAAAGTGGGAGATACTCTTCAACAAATTGATACAGGAGACTACTTCATGAACATAGCACCAGTGACACAGACACTGATATCGACAATTAACAAATGGGACCTCCTAAAACTAAAAGCTTCTGTAAGGCAAAGGACACAGTCAACAAGACAAAAAGGCAGTCCACAGAATGGGAAAAGATATTCACTAACCCCATATCTGACAGAGGGCTAATCTCCAAAATTTACAAAGAACTCAAGAAGCAAGTCTCCAAAACACCAAAGGATCTAATTAAATGGTTGGGTACAGAACTAAATAGAGAATTCTCAATAAGGGTGGCTAAAATGGCCAAGGGACACTTAAGAAAGTGCTCAGCATCCTTAGCCATCAGGGAAATGCAAATCAAAACAACTTTGGGATACCATCTTGCTCCTGTCAGAATGGCTAAAATAAAAAACACCGAAGACAATTTATGCCGGAAAGGATGTGTAGACAGGGGAACAGAATTCCACAGCTGGTGGGTGTCTCAACTTGTACAGTCACTTTGGAAATCAGTATGGAGATTCCTCAGGAAAATGGGAATCAATCTCCTGGAAGACCCAAGAATTCCACTCTTAGGCATATATCCAAATGAGGCAAATTCATACAACAAGGGCATCTGCTCCACTATGTTCATAGCAGCATTATTTGTAATAGCCAGAACCTGGAAGCAACCTATATGTCCTAGATTGCAAGGTTGAACATGACTTCTAATTGTTTTATCTTGCCATGGTTTTTATTTATTCCAAAATAGCATTAAAAGGACACATGAATGAGCCTGGAGTAAAGCTTGCCATACTTTCTGCATTCCTCAAATTTTAAAAGGGGCAATAGTGGCTATGGTAGACAGATTCAGAAAAAACATTCTCACAGCAAGTCAATGGGAAAATATTGTGCTGCTGCCAAAGCCAAATAAGCAGGAAATGGTCAGAGAAAGATGGAGGAGTCTGTGTACACAGAAAAGGACACTGGGACACTGACAGGAAGGACACGTTAATGGGGAAAGCATAGGTTTTCGGGGATATATAGACTGGAGTCATGTTCAACCTTGTAATCTCTTTATTTCTAGGAATCTACAGGAAGCCTTTACTCTTTGTCCCACATACTAACCTGGTAAATTCAGGAGAGAAGGTGACCCTGAAGTGTCACTCACAGATTGTGTTTGACATCTTCATTTTGAATTTACAAATAAATAGAATAGGCAAAGAATCTTTCCAACATTCTGCAGAATCCCATCTTGGAGGGTCCCATGCCAGCTTCTCAATAGGACCCACAACACCTGCTCATGCTGGGACTTATATTTGTTATGGATCTTTCAATCACACACCATATGAATGGTCTGAATCCAGTGACCCAGTTGACATAGTGATCACAGGTAAGAGGGTGTCACCTGATCATCATCTTCTCTGTGATGCAGAGCAGTTATTCTATAGAAATACTGGGAAGTCATAGGGAAGATGACTGTGGGGATCAAAAAGGTAGTCTTCATGAGTACGTTTCTTACATAGACAATTAAAGTGTAGACACAAGGACAAATCATTTGTTTTAATGTAAATCACTGATACAGGTTGGTAAAAGGAATCTTAACTAGAGGTAAAGAGAAAGGGTGACTTCATGAGCTTGATATGAATCAAAGACAATGAAGTCCTTTTGCTACTTTTCAGTATCCTAAACAGGTCAGAATTTTGTTTGCTTCTATCTCTAAAAGACATCTGCCAGAGACAAATTGACATCATGTGTGTCTTGAATGTATGTGCTGAATTGGACTGGTTCTCTATGAGTCCTGAGGCCTTGGTGCAGTTGGCACCCACAGAGTTTCTGTCTAGTTTGACAGTCCTTCCATTCTTGTGTTTGATCAATTATTTATGAAAAATAGCATAACCCTGGGTCATTGAGTAGACCACCAATCACTGTCTCTTCTCTACATTACCAAACAGTTGAAAATACATGTTCCAATAACTACCATAAAAATTACCATGAGTAAAATGAAGTGAATTAGGATCTCTTAATGAAGACATTTACTTTGTATGCTAATTTAAAAAATAAACATCTCTAACTAAACCAACAGATTGGCAAAACATTTGGACAGAATGAAAGGATGAAGAAGAAAACCTGGGTAAAGGAATAAAATCAGTGGAAGTTGATGGACAAGAGAAGTTAATATCATAATATGACCAAGATTAAACATATAAATACATATGTCATAACACTTAAAGAAAATGAGGCAAGAAAATGATGCAACTGGACTTGAATTTCAAAATTTTAATAAAAAACATAAAAATACATTATGCATGCAAGTTTGTATTTTATAATGAATCCAACCGCTGTATAAATCTAATATATGTTAATAAAAACAAATTTAAACAGGCAGATGAAATGAGCCAATGCATATAGGGCCAGAAACTGTCAAAAGCAAAACTGTGGTAAAATGCATGGTTACAGAACTGTGGTCAGAGACTCGGTAAGATAGAAGGAAAGAGAGAGGGAAGAGATAGGGAGGTAGGAAAAGGAGAGGTAACGGTGGGGCAGAGAGAGAGACCACAGCAATGTAAGCATGGAGAAAGAACTCTGAGACGTGGATGAACACCAGTAAGGAACTGCCCCCTAATTGTCTCTGCTCTTTTTTTCCAGGTTTATACAAGAAACCTTCATTGGCAGTCCTGATGGGCCCCATGGTGATGTCAGGAGAGAACATGACCTTGGCTTGCATCTCTGATCATCAGTTTGACATGTTCCATCTGTCCAGGGAGCAGGTGTCTAAGGGACATGGGCTGCCTGCCATGCAGAGTCACAATGGGATATTCCAGGCCAATTTCTTTCTTGGGCCTGTGATCCAGGCAGGCAACTACAGGTGCTATGGCTCTTTCAGGAACTCCTCCTTTGTGTGGTCATCCCCAAGTGACCCCTTGTATCTTCCTGTCACAGGTATACATATCTCATGTCTTGTGACTTAAAAAACCTAAAGCCATGACTGAGAACCATCTTACTAATGAGAGTGAGATAGATGCAAGTATTTCCATGTGTCCATTTGAAGTAAATAAATATATTTTATACATACATATGTAAATATTTGTGTGTGTGCATAACATATATTGCACACATATACCTGTATACACAAATATGTGGGTATTAAAAGAAGGTACTCAAAAAACCGTATATATAAAATATTGTATGTATAGGTATATACACAACCTATATCACATACAATATCACATACAATAATAATAGTAAATGAAAAAGATGCTATTGACTTAAGAGTGGGGTGGGTGTGGGAAAATGTAGAGGAAGGATATCTGGGAGGATACAGAGAAATGAACTGGAGAGGGAAGGGATATCATTATATTCAGTTAAAATGTCTTTTCAAACAGATGGAGTTAGGTTATCAGATGATAAAATGATACAGAGGATTTTCCCAAACAATCTTTACCTAGCTTGGCCAGACCCACATGAATATCTTGCATACAGGCAGTTATAGAAAATGGTCAGCAGAGCCCCATAATGGATGAAGTTGGGGTCAGTTGGGCAGAGCATACATGGAACAGCCCAACTGATATCTCTATCACATAGATCTCTCCACAGTATTCCTATTATCTCATCACAACTTGACATCCAAGGACAGTAACATTTACTAAGCATATCAAATAAAGGTATCCTATAACACAGGCAATCAGAAGTAACGGGTTAAATAGATGCTGGTCACTGAAAACCTGATAGGACTGTACATTAGAGGAAGACAGATAATATCTTTGACCACCTCTCTGTCCTTCTTTTGTTTCCATTCTCTAGGAAATTACACTTCTTTTCCAGAACCAGACTTCAAAACTAGTAAGCAAATTATTCCTCTTCTTTATTTAAAACTGTTGGTACTAAAGTCTACTGAAGTCATGTGCTGTGCAAGCTTCCTCACACATCTTTAATCTTAGCCTCATCAAGCATCTTCTCTCATTCTAAATCTGTGCAAAATCAGAAGATATTTAGGGGCAGCATGAATCCTGTAGGGACTCCTCATATCTTGGGAGTAATGAAGTCCTAATATATGAGAACCACCGTCCTTATGATGGACAGAAAGTCTCATAAGAAGCTACCAGAGGACATCAGCGACATTTTGACGTGTGTGTGTGTGTGTGTGTGTGTGTGTGTGTCCTGCAATTTCCTGATAGAGGCAGGATGGTGATGAGACAGAACAATCCTGTACAAGTCACATGAAATAGAAGGTGTTAGAGATAAAATTTAAGAATTCATGGTGATCCCACCAGGCAGTATTCAGGAAGGCTGCAGATTAACAATGGATTTGTAATAGTACCATCCCCTGAATTTTGAATCATAGAATATTAAGGACTTGTCCATCCTGGATTTTATTCCCTGGAGCCATAGAAAGTCTAGCTGTATGTACTACAGACAGTAGAAGAGCCTAGGATATTTTGGAAGGATTCCTTATCTCCATTCCTACCAGGTATAGTACATATTAAATGTATTCTATGAATTTCACTTGAGAAAATAAAGAACACATAGTCATATGACATATGCCTTCCAAGTTCCTATTCTTATTAATGTATTTGCATCAGTTCTTTCAGAATCTCAAACAATGTGATTTGATAACCTCCATCACTTCCCCATCTCCTCCGGGGCCCATCCACCAAACTGTGTGGTCTTCTTTATCCATTAAGTTGAATTTGTGATGCACATCTATTCAGGAATGTGTGTCTTCCCACTAGAGAGCAGCAACCGTCTTACAAATAAATCTCCATCTCCCAGATATCATATGCTGATGCTGCAACGATAAACGGCATGCTAGTTGAGGGTATAGATAACTGTTTATTGTACAAATTGCTCACAAGAGAAAAACAAGCAACCCAGATGAGTTGAATAGTTTTCTGCCACCGAACTGGAAGCCGAAAGAGAGCGAGCGATCTTCTGCTCAGTCTTTATTCCTTCCTCTGTACATGTCCCAGCCATGCACAATAGTGGGCCAAACTATATGTTACAATGTGCCTATAGAGTCTTGGATAATGTGTTACTTCATGTCCAACACCCATCTGCATGTTGGCATTTGGTCTGATTTGAATTTGTATTAGTATTGTTCCTGCTGTCACAAATGGTGGGAGTTCATAGGTGCAAATGCAGAGTTGTGTCCAGGGAACACTATATGTTTGCAGTTTGCTTTAGCTTCTTTAAGCCGTTATGGTCCCTGCCTATTCCAGTGAACATTGAGACTGTGAAGAAGAGAATTTGATACAAATGTCCCATTTAGACCTATTCTCTCATCCTTTGCATCGTTGCTAAGCATGGGAACGTGCATTCATCACCAACTATTGGAAATAAAATCCTTCCTGCTGAGGTTGAGCGAAGAATTAACATATGGTTCTCAGAAAAAGACATTAGGAGTCACTTTAATACTGTGAGCATTTAGCATAAAATAGTAGTACTACTATATTGAATGGTAGGATTATATTATATTGCGTAGTATAATCTTTTTCTAAAGAAATACTATATTGATTATTTATCAATCAATAAAGCAATTTACTGCAGTGTGCCTAAATTGTCTTATTAAATTCACATCTTCCATCAGATAACCAAGTGTTCCTGCATATTCTTATAAGACTGTCACTTTTCATTATAACTGTTTTCCTCATCATCCTCGTTTATTCTTGGTATTCTGCCAAGAGAAATAAGTATAGAGAAGAAGACACTGAGTGTCATCTGAAGAGAGAGACACTGAACATGAAGGAATAGAGGTATGTGGTATGCTTTTACTTTCTCTGGACAGGTCCACTGGTGGAAGGGGCCTTCTGGAGAGAACAATGGAGCATTTGCTCTTTCCCTTAGCACGCAGACCAGTAATTAATTATTCATCATATACACACACTCAAAGCAGATTAAATTTAAGAGAACGATTTATAAGAATTACATGGGGGCAGAGAGAGAGAATGGTGAAAAGAAAATAGTATCGTAGCGTAAGTATGAGATGGGATTTATAACATAGAGATGAAAAAACAACTGACTATACTGTGTATTAGAAGAGCAACCTTGGGTTTTATCATCTCTCTCGTTAATATGTTGTTATTTAGAATGAGACTGCGGACATGATTTCTTAAATGTTTTTAATTATTCTTGTTCCCTATAAATACAGCACCTGTGGACCAAGAGATTGTCGTTCAAACAACAAAGAACAGACAGGTCCTTCTGAGCCCACCCTGTTTCATTCAGTCTACTGCCCTCATACTATGCAAGAATATGTGCATGCAACATGACTTAATATGTACCCCTTTTTAGAATCCTGAAGACATAAATGCAGGAGGTGACACACACAGAACTTGACCAAATGACTTTCAAATATTGACTCACTCCCACTTCACATATGCCCAAGGAATTTTCCATGGAAACCATTGTGTGCATGGAACTTATGAAATGATAAGCTGAAATGGAAGATTGTCTGTAACTCTAAAGATCTGAGAATGGCTTTTTTGGAAACTGTGGCCCTTTATTCAGAAAAGACTGATGGATGCAGAGAAAAAACACCTGGAATCTGAAGACAATGTCTACAAATTTGGAACAGTTTTTCATTACTCAAAGATATATGTGAATGAGGTTTTCCAATATATCCTGAATTTTTATGTCTTCTATATCTTTTATATCATCCAGAGCAATATGGTTTCTGACAATAGGCATTAGGTTCTTTATTTGCTCTGGGAAGGAGTTTCCTCCATGGTTACAGGAAATTACTGAACTGAATTTGACATGGGAGCCTGTATGTGAACACTCAAGGAGTCTACTGACAGCAAAATGTAACTCTGACTGTCTCTGGTCAGATCTACATTCATTCGTCCAATGCCTGTCTTTGTCACAGCTTCTGTATAATCCAGAAGGGAGGTGTTTTCTGTTCAAATGATGCTGAGAAAATACATTGTTTGTAGCAATGCTCTGCTTACAATCCCTATTGAAGAGACCTTATTTGCCTCAATTGAAACACTTAACATTTTGATTTTTCTTCAAACCCTGAAAATCACCTTTCCTATTCAGCCATCATCAAGGTTATGATATTCAACATTGTTTGGACCTTGGATCCACCACTCCAAGGGTCCACGACTTGCCTTTTATAAACTTATTACCCTATTGCATTGTGCATTAGCATTTTCAAAATTGTTATTGCCTAGCTTCTAATTTTGGTATCATTTTATTTACTGCTGAAAACAATCCTTGTAGCAAATCCATGAATATTTCCTTTGGTCCTTATATAACTTTAATAAATGAATCAATTTTCTTTTCTACTCCTCCAACTCTATTCAAACCATTCAAACATGATGCATGGCTACTGTGCATCAGCATAATCTCTGTCTCCAAGAGATTGATGGTGGGAGATTTCCATACCTCCAGTCCTGCTCTGTTGTTCAATGTTCTTACCCGGACCTTTCCACCAGGAACACAACTGCAATTGAGGACCAGGCTTCAAAACTGCTGTAACCAATTCTCACCAGTCATAAGGGATGATTCTATTACAAGTTGAACACAAACTTAACATCTGCTTCACACAAGGTGAATTCATACTAAAGAAACTAATACTCCTTGAATCTAACATTTCCAGAGGAACCCATTTAAATTTTGCACAGCCTTGAACATGCCTATCATTTTCCAGTTGTACCTGTAAGATGCCTGGATGAATTCAGGTTGCTTGTTTAAAATCCTTAAGCTGTTTCTCTCTAACCTTATAATGCAATGCTAAAATTCATTCAACATTAAATTCTTATGAGTCTGAATATCCCTATGACCTGATTAATTAAATTTTTCTAAATCTTGCATCTTAACACTCTTACTAACCAAAATTTAGTAATGAAACAAAAATGATGAAACTGGGAATGCATCTAATTGACGTTTCATGAATTCCATCTAAATTAGTAATTCTCTCAGTTAAATATTTCATTTTCAAACTGTCCAGTGCATTATCATACAAAGACTTGAATCCCTCCATTGTAATAGGGTGGAAAAATCTCTTTTTAGCTAATTCCTCCATTTAAGAATTCCCAGTTATTTCATCAAATCTGCTGACAACTAAAGTAAAATGTGACTTGTACAGGTCTGATCAAAGGACACAGGAAATGAACAGCATTGCTGAGGACAGCTTCAACTGTGTGTACCTATGAGCTGAGAGTGGTTGCCCAAGGAGAGTGGGTCCAGGGGAAGACCACACCTCATAGGGGAAGCTAGCTACCTGAGAAACACACAGGACTGTGCAGAAGAGCCATGTGTGGCAGGGACTGCCTGAGTGCAGATAGGGAGAGTATAGGGATTAGTAGTTTTTAACTAAATCTCTATATTTCTATTCATCAATAAGATTCAGGAGTCAGAAGCCGGGATATAAACATGAGAGTTCATAGAGATGGAGGCAAAACTAGTCGACCTTCTGTTTTTACTTGTATCTCAGAAAGAGAGCCTCTTCCTGCTTTGCAAAGCCATAGAGGGCTGCCACATACAAAGTCCCTCCCTACTACTTCCTGTGCATCCCTCTTTCTGTCTTCCACACTCTCTCTGACTCTCTGTGATTACTGTGTGTCCACTAGTTGCTGGCTTCACCTCCTAACGAAAGGTTGATTTTTCTTCCTAAGCGTTAAGGATTTCTCTGCAAGAGGCAACATTTCAGTTCATAGGAACTAACTTTCAACAGCAAGGTAGTGTGAAGATGAGAGAAGGAGGAGGTGCCTGAGGTGACATCTTATTTGTACTCTAACACATAAATCTTGCATGAAGACGGGAGGGCACAGCTACCTCCTAGGTAACCACAGAGGTCTGGAGATCAGTACAGAGTATAAGATAGTGACATGGCTTGGTGGATAGAGGAGTATAAGGTAGAAGGAGACAGGATTTCACTCTCCCTTTGGCTGAGAGCTTGGTAAGTTAAGGTGTGGCTATGGCTTTCTCCTTT